GGCATTGTGGCATAGTGGGTAAAGCTGCCATCCCATACGAGTGCCACTTAGAATCCAGATCAAGCTGGCTCCCACTAACACACCTGGGAAAGCAGGAAAAGATGGCCCGAGTGGTTGGGCACATGCACCCATGCGGGAGACCCAGATGAGTCTCCTGACCCATGACTTCAGCCTGGCCCAGCTCTCTGCTATGGCCATTTGGGGAGTGAACTGGGCAATGGAAGAATTTATTTTCTCTACTTTTCAAATAAATAAAGTCTTTTGGAAAACAAAAATAAATGAAATGCAATGATATTAATATTTCTATTGAATATGAAATACCATTGTATATTATAATATAGCCCAAATCCATACAATACTTACATGTATTAAGGTGGCCACATAATTGTGAGTGCAAACATGTAAAATATGAGGATAATTTTTTTAAAATCTGGTTTATTTTTTCATTTTTTTTTCTTTTAAGATTTTTTTTTTTATTGGAAAGTCAGATTTGCAGAGAGAAGGAGAGACAGAGAGGAAATCTTCCATTCACTGGTTCACTCCCCAACAGCTGCAACAACCAGAACTAAGCTGATCTGAAGCCAGGAGCCAGGAGCTTCTCTGGGTCTCCCATGTGGGTGCAGGATCCCAAAACCCTGGGCTGTTCTCTGCTGCTTTCCCAGGCCACAAGCAAGGAGCTGGATGGGAAGTGGAGTAGCTGGGATACGAACTGGCACTCAAATGGGATCCTGGCATGTGCAAGGTGAGGACTTTAACCACTAGGCTACGGTGCCAAACCCTATTCTTTTTTTTTTTTTTTTTCAAGTTAAAAGCAGAGAGACAGAGATACTCAGAGATAGAGACAGGGTAAGCTCCTATGCACCCGTCTACTTCCCAAATGCTTCCCACAGCCAGGGCTGGCTGGGCCAGAGGTAGGAGCTGGGAACCCCACATGAGTGAAGAAACCCTGTGCTTGAACTTGACCACTTCCTCCTGGAGTCTGCATTGGCAGGACACTGAAATCAAGAGCCAGGGCCCATAATGAAATCCACACACTGTGGTATGTTCGGGCAGACTTCTCACCCACTAGGCTTAACACCTTCTCCCAATCATAACATTTAAAGGAAACTTTGAAAATTCTTTTCATGTTTACCTACCTGTCATGACAAAAGAAGCAAGGAAGCGGAAAAAATAAGGAACTGCAAACTGGAATGTCTTAACAGTGACTGGCTTTCAACACAACCACATCTTTGCATGTAAGCCTCACTCCTGAACACCGGCTCTCTTTTCTCCTATTTTCAAACAAATCATTATAATCAATGCTGCAGGAGAGTGGCTAAGATGACCCTATCCCACCTGCTTGGGTTGCGCACTAGCTCTGATCTCTGATTCCAGAATTGTACCAGTGCAAACCCTGGGAGGCAGCCATGATGGCTCAAGCCACCAGCTTCCACTCACCCGCCTGGAGACCTGCATCGAGTCCCCAGGTCCTGGCTCAGGCCACTAGCATGTGTTAAGTGAACCACTGGATAAGGGTTCTCTCTCACGTTCTTTCAAAGAAGCAAAAAATAAATTTTAAACAATAGTTAACTGCTAGAAATAATCTACAGGCTGCTTTGCCATTTCAACCCAAGAAATAAATTCAAAACAGAGTTGGAAAAAAAAAAAAAGACTCAAGGGAATAAAAAGCAAGGCTCTTTCTTCTGAACAACACATAAAATTCCCATTCAAATTATCTCTAACAAATATTTACTGATGTCTGCTCTGTGTTCAGCATTGAATCAGTTCTTGATTCATTTATCCATTGTGTATTTATTAAGTACCTACTTTTTTTAAAAAAAAAGATTTATTTATTTTTATTGCAAAGTCAGATATACAGAGAGGAGGAGAGATAGAGAGGAACATCTTCCATCTGATGATTCATTCCCCAAGTGAGCCGCAACGGCAGGTGCTGCGCCGATCTGAAGCCAGGAGCCAGGAACTTCCTCCAGGTCTCCCACACGGGTGCAGGGTCCCAGGGCTTTGGGCCGTCCTCAACTGCTTTCCCAGGCCACAAGCAGGGAGCTGGATGGGAAGTTGAGGTGCTGGGATTAGAACTGGCGCCCATATGGGATGCTGGCGCGTTCAAGGCAAGGACTTTAGCTGTTAGGCCATCATGCCAGGCCCCAAACAAAAATCTTAGCAGCAGCATACCAGATTGGAGAATGGTTTTGAGTTGCTGCTGCTCCGCTTCCAGCTCAGCTTCCTGCGAATGTGCCTGGGAAAACAACGGAAGATGGCTCCTGCCACGTGTGTGGGAGTACTGAGTGGAGTTTTTGGCTTCAACTGGACCCAGCCCTGGCTACTGTGGCCTAATGGGCAGTGAACCAGCAGGCGGAAGGCATCTTTCTCTCTCTGTCTCTCCCTCTCTTTGTCTTGTCAATTTTCTTCAGATGCGAAGTGGGGATAGTGTTATTATTTAACCATTGTTGCCAATTCATATTTGTAAAAGATTTGGGGCAGTATCTGATATAAAGTTTTTTTAAAAAAAATATGTATTTATTTATTTAAAACACAGAGTTAGATAAAGTGGAGAAAGATAGCTCTGGCCAGCAGAGCCGGTAAAGTGGACATGGTGAGGGTCTGAGGCACCGACAGCGCACCAGTGATGGTGGAAGTCTCTCCAAGCCTCCCTTTATTGTACCTTATATACTCTTTCCGCAAGCCCTTTAACAGAACAATAGGATGCTAATGAGTCTAATTAGACTAGGTGCCACTAGCCCCAAACCCATTTCCTGAGGGTGCACAGCTTAAACAGAGCTAAGCAACTCCTTAGCCCACAACAATCTTCCACGGTTTTCCCTGCCTCGTTAGCAGGAAGCTAGGTCAGAAGTGCAGCAGCTAAGACTGAAGCCGGCAGCCATGCAAGATGCTGGGGCTGCAGATGGCGGCTTATCCCCTATTTGGTCATTCATTACATCCAATAATAAAGCTGCAAGAATGACATTGGCTTTTCCTGGAGAAAAGCGAAGTAGACTCTGAAAAAAATCATAAAAACACACAGAGACAGAGGGAAGGAGACACTGGAGAGGTCCCCAGCTGTGGAAGGGGAGAGGCATCCCGGAGACCTTTCGGACAAAGGGTGATGAGGAGGGACGCCTTTGGCAAGGCAACCAAGCAGGCGGTGCGAATGCGGAAGAACGCACCTGGCTGGCTATTTTTTTGTGACGGCGTCTGAGAGAGTCTGCAGCTTGCTAACTGTCACATGACCGCATCCGTGGCTAACATATTCCCAGTGGACTGTGACAAGACTGCTGAGAACATCTGAGTTATTGCTAAGCATCATGGGGTTAAGAGCCGGAAGGAGGGCGGCAGTGGCCAGACTTGTGAAGCTGAGGCTGGGCTCCGCGTTCATCTGCGGAAAGATGGAAGATTCTAGGAGCACACCCCCCACCCTCCCACCCCATCTTCCTGGAGCTTTCCTTCACTACCAGTTCTGCAAATGTAAGATTCCCTCGTTCTTATAAAACAGCCTGTTTGTTCTCCTTGGGAATATATGTCATAATCAGAAACTCAGAGAAGTCCTTGGGAAAGATCACCTTACTTACTGCAGAGCGGACTCCAGACCGCCAGAACAATCCTCTGGGAATTACTTATTTGCGCCCCATTCAAAGAAGTATTTTTCTATCCAAACGTTTAAGATTAAATTCCAGCATAGTAAATATACTTGGGAGAATTTGTAAAGTCATACACCGCGAACTGAAAACATTGCTTTAGATCTGTTTTTGTTTGTTTTTTTGTAGTCTGTGCAACATAACTGCCGGCTTTTCTCTGCTATGCTTAAAGGCATTGCTCCTGGGGCGGGGCACTAAGTTACCTAACCAGAGGTACAGTTGCTCCACAACCTGGTGTATGCCCCAACCCGATGTGAAATAAGAACCATGGGGGCGGGGGGGCTGGCTGGCGTTGGAGCAGAAACTTTACTCAGTGTATCCCGAAGTATTTTAACGTGGAATCCACATAAGGTCGTGTCTGCGACATTGCTAGTATCTTTGTGCTGTCTCAAAAAGACAATGTACATTCGCACACCCAGCCCTCTCAGATGATGTTCCTATCATTTCCAGCACTATGTAGCCGCTTGGGGTTAGCGCCACAGCAAGAGTGTAGCTTTGAGTCCCAAACACACTGCTTTCGGATTTTTTCAAGGTCAAGTCGACAAAGAGAGATCTCCAGTACCATGAGGCTTTGCAGCAACCCAACACGGAAAAAAAACAAAAAAACAAAAAAAAAAAAAAACCAAAACCCAGTGGTTTTCTATGGTAGTCACCGAAGGTTGTCTTGAGTTAGGGCTGCAAGAACTGTCAGCCCGAAAGTGAGACAGGGATGCGTAATTCTTGAGTTATAGTAATGTTGAATGTCGTGTTTCCCCAGAAAAGAAAAACAAACAAAAATTCTTCCACAGTGGGGGAAATAAAAAAAGCTTTTACTTTTCTTGGATGGGTCCATTTTACTTTTCCAAGGCGTTCTAACAAAGGTGATGGGCATATCTCTGGCAAAAGATTAATTTGCATCCTCAGAGATCTGATCAGTTTTGAAACTCCGCTGTCTCTCTCCCAGGAACAGTGGTCAGCCTTTCCCCAGAGCTCGGACTAAAGAATGCCAGGGTTGGCTTCCCGACCTCGCCTACTTTGCGCGGCTGGCGGAAGGCGCGGGCTCCCTCCCCCCGCCCTGTCTGCCGGTTCCCTGGCCTCTCCGGGCAGATGGAGTTTCCGGCCTGCGCTCCGTGGTCGCGTCGGGTCAGCCGGCAGGTCCCTGCCCGAGATCGGATCCGCAGGGAAGATCCGGAGGGCAGTTGCGCGCGCGGAGTCCACACCCTCCCCGGCCGCCGCTGCAGCGTGCCAGGCTGGCTGGTGGGTGTCTGGGCCGTGCGCCGCCGCCGCAGCCCGGAGCCTGAGCCCTCCCCTCGGGTGGTTTCAAGTGCAGAAGGTGGAAATGCGGAAGTTTCCAGCTTCAACTGACAGATGAGGCTGGCTCCCTCCTCGGTATGCACTGCAGAGGCTCTGCAGCGCGCCGGGCACCAGCTCTCCGCATCCTGCGACCCTAGAGCGCACCGAGCCGCCGGCCGCCATGGCCACGCTGCCAAGCGCAGAGCGCCGCGCCTTTGCGCTCAAGATCAACAGGTAAGCCGCGCCCGGCTGGCAGAGCGCCGCGCCCGGGCTCTGTAGCTGCGCAGTCCCTGCTAGTCCGCGGCAGGGCGCACCTGAGCTCCGAAGGGCGCCAGGAGCTCCGAGGCTAAGGCGGTGGAGCCCTGCAACGGGGCAATGACCCGCGCTCCCGGCAAACCACCATCCGCACCTCGCTCTCGCAGACCTCGGAACTCTGACAGGTGGCCTGGGGATTCGAGCCGAGCATCCTCCGGCGGGTTCTCAGACTGCCCCCCCACCCCCCACCCCCCGGGGAAGCCCAGAAGGGAAAGAAGAAAGAGGCTACGGTCAGAATTTGACTTTGAGGCAGCCCCTTCAAGGCTTACTGTTGTCCAAAGCAAGGTTATTTTTCCCGTCTTGGTTTATTATTTCCAGAAAAAAAAAAAGTTTGGCTTCTGTGACATTGGTATTTTAAATTCCTGAGCCAGGAGAGCTGTGAAGTGGAAAAAGCAATTTTTAAAATTGTGCTCCGTTTCAGTCGACAAGCAGAAATGCTTGCGGCTGGCATTTTGGATTTACTGGCAAATAGCTAAGTTCTCAGGGTTCCCGACTCAGCATCCATTTCACAATCAGACTGGATGGAGACTCGATGGAGGCACGGGTTTCCTGTTCAGGTTCCCAGGACAGGTGCTTCAGCTGCTGCTTTCCTTCCACTGAAACTGCTGGCAAGGATTTGGGAGCATTTTTGGTTTTGCTGGGAGAAGTCCCAACCATTTAGTTAAAAGGTAACATGAGGTTCATGCCGAAGGGTTAGGTCAGCCACACTAGGTTCTCTGCGAGTCTTTGCTCTGAGTCTGGGCAAGGTTCGTTTCACCTGCTCTGGGCTGCTGGTGGCAACAAGTTTGAGCTGTGAGGAGTTCGTGCCCAGGGCCTGCGAAGGGGGTCCCAGATCGAAGCTCTTTAACTTTCACTTGCTGTGTAGCTGCTAGCAAACCATCTCTCTGACCTGACTCTCTCTTCATTTGCAACGTGAGTTTAATTATTCCTGCGTCTTGTACGTTCACGTTGAAGGCCTAAAGGGGATAATCCAAGAGGCACAAAGTGTATCAGGGGATTTCTTTATCTGTCTTGGGTTTCATGGTGGAGGGGGAACTTGGCGTGGGGGAACATGGGGTGTATCGGGCAGAAGGTTCTGGCAGGTTTGCCACCTGTCATGGCCACACCTCTGTACCTTGTCACTGAGGATGTGGGGTCCGGAGGTGGGAGTGAAAAGGATGCTAGAGACCATGGGCTGAGCTGCGTGAACAAGCAGTAACTGGATTCAGACTCACCTCACAGGCAGTCTTGCAAGAAAAGGTGGGATTGTTGTAGCCTAGGAGTGGAGAGTAAAGGCCCCCCGGGGTGGAATCAGGTCTACTTGCAGGCTGGCCCTGCTAGCTGTGTGATGGTGGACGGGCCGATTAACTTCTCCAAATCTGGTTTCATTATATGTCACATGTCTCTTATGTCTGTTCAGAGGATTAAATGAAATGACAGCTAGGAAATGCTGCCAGTCCCTGGCTCAGAATCGAATGTTCCTGGTAGCTGTCGTGGTCAACACTGGCTTCTTCCCCATCAGCACTGCCTCGGTGACACTGCTGTCAGAGAGCTGACACCAGTGTCTCTTTGGGTTTAGCGATGCCAGTGGCTGGTGGAGCCAAAGTTCTCCGTTCTGTTCCCTGTCCTGGGATTCTGCCCCAGACACATCCTGTGGAATAGAATGTGTGACGAAACATGACCGGGAAGGACCCGTATGTTCAGTGTGGTATAAAGTGTTCCTATGATGAATGCAGATGGGTTCTTTCTTTCTTTCTTTCTTTCTTTCTTTCTTTCTTTCTTTCTTTCTTTCTTTCTTTCTTTCTTTCTTTCTTTCTTTCTTTCTTTCTCTCTCTCTCTCTCCTTCCTTCCTTCCTTCCTTCTTTCATTTATTTACTTGCAAAGTCAGAGTTACAGAGACACAGAGAGATGGAGAGAGAGAGAGAGAGAGAGAGAGAGAGAGAGAGAACCTCTGGTTCACTCCCCAAATGAAGGCAAAGGCCGAGCTGCGCCAGTCTGAAGCAGGGAGCCAGGAGCTTCTTCCAGATCTCCTATGTGGGTGCAGGGGCCCAAAGACCTGGATTATCCTGCTCTGGTTTCTCAGGCTGCGAGCAGGGAGCTGGATCAGGAAATGCAGCAGCCGGAACACAAACAGGTGCCTCTAGGCTATTTCTGTCTCAGATTTTTGTTTCCCCTTTACAAGTATTGTATGTGGGGAGGAAGAGCTGTGTTGGATGGAGCAGATTCATGAACATGTGTTAATATTACAACCTGTCACTGTTATTACTTAAATGGATGGTATCACCAAACCCTCTCACACACACACACAAATCCTGTGCACATCAAAAGAAGAGGAAAATAAAGCTTGGGCACATCTTTGCACAGGGCCAGGTAACTTGTTCAAGTGTTGCAGCCAGCAGTGGCTGAGCTGGGACTGTAAACTTCCAAACACGGTTCCCTGTCCCGGGCCTCTGCTGCTGCAATCCATGGAATTTAAGAATTTCCTTTAAGAGAAGGCAATTCTTCCTTTCCTCAAGTCGTCACCCTGGTGGAAACACTGGCAGAATTGTTCTGCTGCTGATCGGTGTTTCAGACACAAACAAAGCAAATAATGTGTTTTGCCATTTTTCGGGTGAAAAAAAAATTTTTTTCCATTGCGGGCCTAGCTATTCGTTTTTTTTTTTTTTAATTACTTAGTAATTTTCTTTAGATCAAATTTTAAGAGTCATATAGTATTGAAATATAACCAGCAGTACATTCAGCAGGTATTCATGTATTTTTTTTTTTACTTTTCTAATAAGAATAATATAGTCATTCCCTTAAACTATTTGTAACAGTGTGCGTCCTATTATAAAATTCTCAGAACTGGTATCTAATATTGTACTTGCGAAGATCTCTTTCCGCGTTAACCTCAAGGAGGAGTGAGTCGGCTATCTTTCAACCCAGGTAGAAAATCCCCCACCACTGTGCATTCTGTGGTTTCCTGCAAGAAGCATTGGCCACTCCAGGAGCAGGGCGGTGGGGAGGGGAGGGGAAGGGGGAGGGGAAGGGGGAGGGGAAGGGAGAGGGAAAGGGGGAGGGGAAGGGGGAGGGGGGCCTGCCACCGACCCACCTCCAGGTTGCCCCTATTCTCTCCGGCCCTTGTAACATCTCAAGTCTCCGTGGTGGAATTCATCAGGTCCAGCTTGTTTTGATCACTAAGCTTCCTTGTGGAACCTGTTACTGTTAAGCGTTTCCCTGGAATCCGAAAGCTCGGGAAGGTACTAGAGATCCACCCCTGGTTGTTTCTGAACTAGAAAAGTGAAATGTAATGTTCGCTTTGCCATGGCTGACTTCTCACGGGCGAAGAAACAATTGGGTCTTGGTTGGGCACTTCCTAGTAGGGTTTGGGAACGCAGGCGGTTGAACTTCGGGTCCTGTTAATTACCTTCCTTTCCTCTTTTTCTTCTCCTCCCTTCTCCTCCCTTCCGCCCCCTCCCCTCCTCTCCCCTGCCCTCCCCTCCCTTCCCTTCCACTCCCTTCCCTTCCCTTTCTCCTTTTCTTTTTTTCCTTCCTTCCTGTCTCTCTTCCTCCCTCCTTCCCTCCCTTCCTCTCTTTTTCCTTCTTGGAATTTGGTGCTTTTACAGTTACAACTTAATACTAACGAACTGAGAACTCATTAAACAAAATCTTGGTTTCTTTTCGGCACCAAACAGACACTTGTCTTGACCAAACCTTGGATAAAGGAAACAGAAGTGTAGAACTCAGGAAAAGCATCGGTGAGCAATGTTTGAGTCCCAGCTGCTCCACTTCCTATCCAGCTCCCTGCTATATGTACCTAGGAAAACAGCAGAAGTCCAAGTCCCAAGTCCTTGGACCCTGGTATCCATGCTGAGGACCTGGAAGAAGCTCTGGGCTTCTGCTTTTGTACTGGTTCAGCCCTAACTAGTCCCTGTGGGCCTTTGAGGTATGAACCAGCAAATGGAAGATTTCCTTTCTTTGTCTCTCTTTTTCTCCCTATAACTCAACCTTAAGAATACATTAAAAAGAAAAAAACATGAGAAGAGAATCAAGTTACTTAGAGATTGCACGCCCAATAATTTGGGGTTTAAGGATCAGAACAGAATGAGATAAAGACATTTGCTGAGAAGTGTTGCTGATTTTGTTAGTCGCACAGGTCAGAACCCTGTTCTTTTTTGCATACAATTATATTCTTCTAGATTCTTGGAAACCTCTCTGTTTGAACTGAATGTACCTTGTGATACTCTGAGGATCCCTTCCAGAACATATGCATTCTGCCAAGGTGGAATTTTATTCACTTGGAGTTTGGCTCCTGACTCTAGTTTCCCACCGGCGTAGACCCTGAGTGACGGTAGTGATAGCTCAGGCAGAGCTTAGCCATCCGTGTGAGAGGTCTGGATTGAGTTCCCCGTTCTACACTTTGGAACAGTGGAAGAATGAACTTCGGATGAAAGATCCTCTCTCTCTCTCTCTCTCTGGCTTTCGGATAAATAAATATGTTAAAAACTTATGATCAACTCTCCATGCAAATCAGTGTAGATCTGTCTTGCAACTTACATAGGTATATGATGATTCATTGAGTCCATTCTCTATGGCTGGTATTTGAAAGTAGTTTAACTTTTCATGGTAATAGATGGAACTTGATGGAAAAGTTTTTGCACATGTATTCTGTGCTAGTGTGAAATTTTACAAATTTCCTTTTTGTGTTCTTATGTATTTCAAAGGTTGGCTGGATTGATTGATTGATTGAAACGTAGGTCATCCAGCCACAATCTACCCTCCAAATGGCCGCAACAGAAGCCTGGAACTCCATTCAGTTCCACACGGGCCACAAGGAACTAACTGCTCAAATCAGCCTCTGCCGCCTCCCTGGTACACACTAACAAGAAGCAGGAATTGAAAGTGGAGGGGATCCCAGCGCGCAAGGCCAGGACTTTAGCCACTAGGCTGCCACGCCGGGC